GGTAAAAAGAAAAAAAATTAAGGAGGTGAAATACAATAAACAGCGACCCTTGCAATTTAAACGTGAATGAATTAAATTTCAACATGTGTCTCGATGATCTATTGGTATTAAAAGTAATAAACTGAAGTGCATACATATACGAAATCGTGCGGGATATGTGTGAAATGATTTTTACATTTTTCAAATTAATTCTTACATGTCCCTCTTGACATTATTCAATATTTTTATATCTCAGAAAAGAAAAGACGAGACAATGAAGATCGTATTTCCAGAAAGTCTTTTAAGGCGAAAGATATGCGATTTAAACCCTTTAATTGCTTTTGTTATTGTGAATGGATATGAAAAAAAAAAACAAGCAAAAAAAAATTACATTTGCCTTTGCGGCGCATTTCCGACAGTCAGCTGCTCAAGTTATTATTTAAAGCTTATAGCAGTTTTCCATAGCGCACGCAGGCAAACATTTGCATCAAATCTCAAGGCAGTGTCCGCTATGGGATGAAAATTATTCATAGTAATATTTTGTTACCACTTTTCCGTTTGTTTAGCAACTGTGGATACGTTTGCTAGCCACTCATGCCGTTTTGAAAACTTCGTCTGTTTGGCCAAGGCAAGTGCACCTTTCTGATTGCGAATTTTTCGATCTAGAAAGAATTCCAGTAACGATCGCACAAATACCATGATCTCATCTTACTTACCTGCAGTTGAAGATGTTCTTGTATTCATTGTTGAACGTTACAAGCGCAATGACAAAGCGAGTACGCATTTATTTTTGAACGGCAAGAGTAGGACGAATAAGCGGTCATCACTTTACATCGTTGAAGAATATTTTATCAATTATTATTTTTTGACAGTAAAAAGTATGTACAAAGTCATGGTACTACTGGAACGGAATGAAATGAAAACCATTGACCATTGACCGAGGAAGGCCTTGGACTTTGCTTGGACCTTTTCTCGCAAATAGATACTGCCATGTTGTAATATACAAACTCGAGTCTACTTTCAATTCGAGTCTCCTTTCAAACGAGGAAATTTACTCTTCCCTGGGTTAATAACACTATGTTAAATTTATCTGTGTCATTCTAAGCCATTCCTGTTATGGAAAATTTATCTTATTTTTTACTACTCTCCGGTATCGCATTCTATTGCACTAAATTCTATCTCTCTTTCTCCTTATTTCTCATATGCAAAAAAGCCAAGGTTATGCTATTTCATGCTCATCTATACCACTTTTCGAAAGTTTTCCGTACTATTTGAAGTTCTTGTTCCTTCTTGTAAATCTGAATTTGTCTATGATGTTATAAGCAATTCTTTGCCATTTTAGATTATCTTTTGCCTTTTTTTTTTAGGTGACTATCTATAACTTTATGGTATTTTATGTTGTCGTGCTTTCTAGATTATCGCTTATTCGTAATTCCCTTTTTGTTTGTGTTGTGACATGACCTTTTTCTTTTCACTTTTTTATTGCATTTTTACATTTTCATTACAATCAATTTAATTGTAGGTATTCACAGAGTTTCTCTCACTTTTCTTCTTGACACTCAAAACGTGCACTTATAGTGGTTCCCCTGAACTTGCCGGTACGTCACAAGCATGTGATAGCAATATTTTTATTTTGTTCTTCGTTTGCCCTCTTCCTTTGACCATGGTTTATGGGATTTTATCACCATTTACTTTCCATTTTTCTTTCTCTGCTGCCATTAAAATAGGAAGGAAAACAGAAAAAAATACACCAATCACTTTAAAAATGTCAAACCTGTGTTGATAGTTTCTTTCTTTTTTTTTTTTTAATTTTTTTCTATTTTCGTTGCTACTGTTGTATTTGTACACTTTGATTAATCGTAATGTTTTCCCAAACTAACCACAAACCGGATTTAACAGTAATATAAGAACTATTTTAAAATAAATTGCTCTTAAGGTATAGAAAATGAATAAAAAAAAAAAAAATAAAAAAAATTGCAAAGTATTGGACACATGAGATGAGCCCCTTATGCAATGTATTGGTGCAAGACGTCACCGAATGGATGAAAAAGTGTGAATGTCGGTTGTCACATAGTATATTTATAAATATATGTACAGTCACATGCACGTTTAAGGAAAACCCGAGGCGAAAGAACCATTTGTATACTTGCATATGGTGTCACATGTGGTAAATGATTGAGCGGTGGTGTTAGTGGTAGCAATGGTGTTAGTGAATGTGTTTTGACACACAAATTGGTTATCAACCAATAAATGTATACAAAAGTGTTTAGATTTTACTTTCAAGAGACTTGCTGCATAACACATTCACATTTTCCTAGAGAAGCGTAGAGTGCAGGCAGGTGAAGATGTATGAAATAACAAAAATAAATAAAATCTGTTAACTTAGGGCTTTAATGGGAATTTTCCGTAAGCTATTCATTATCGAACGACACGGCTAACTCAATGAATGGGTAACATGTACACGTAATGTACACGTTTCTAATCATTCAGAGTTTTCTAAAGAATCTTAAATGCTTATGTGAAAAAGATGATGTCAAAAACTACAACACACAAGTTATTTGGACTTCCGAATCGAAAGAAGCAATCCTTAACGCGACTCCTTTAGGTTATCTAGTTGAGCGCATTTTAAAGCTATTGCTCTTTTTACTATGGGAGGGTTCGAATCGCCTGCAAAGCGGTTTTCATAAAAGATGTATTTGTCGAATTGTGTTTAACATTTGTCGTCTTTGTTGCCTTATTTACCGATGCTTATGGATCCTTCGATTTCGACTTTAAACGGTCAGGTGAGAAAAAATTTCACAAAAAATGTTGTTTCAGTATTTATATTTAAATTTAACGATTTATTGTTAACGATTACAGATTTAGGAAGGTTGGAATTATGTGTTGATAATTTTCAATCAGAATTCTTATATGACCATATACTACCCGTACATCTACTCTAATGCAGGCCCTCTACGGCGAAGTATGGAACTTTAGTCAATTATTTATGCGTGGAGCTGCTCTTGAACACACATTACTAGTAGTATTAGTACTCGAAATGGTTTAATTGTCCACGTTCGCCTTTATCTATTGCAACCTACCTACTTTCTTTTCTTCGGTAAGAATGTAAACAAGCAAAAATTTCATTAATGGTCTTTTTTCAATCATTGTAGAAAACTTTGTAGAATACTTTTTTTTTGTCAATACAGGGCTTACAAAATCGATCGACGAAGGTACAATGGAAAGGCCCCAAAATCTTCTCTATGAATGAATGAAAATGTGCAAATGTGTCACGGCTCAAGGTATTTGCTTCTTTGTTTATTAGCGGTACGGGCTAAGGTTAAGACTGTTTAAGACCGTTTAATGACATTTTATATACTTTCGATCCGGAATTTCGCTATTTTGACAACGTGTTTACAACTGTTTACAACTGTTTAAGACTGTTTAAGACTGTTTAATGACATTTTACTTTCGATCCGAAATTCGACAGAAAATTTCAATCAAATTTCAAATCAAATTATTCAACGAAAGTAATAAAATTTCGAAATCCAATTATGAGCGTTTCAATTAACTATCAAAAAAATTTGAACACATTAAATATTGAATTTATTCATCCGTATTACGATGTTTATAGTTAGACGTTCTGCAATTAACTAACACCTTCGGAAATATTTAATTTAATTTCCAAATTTGTCGGCTTGCTTTGGTTCATGATAAAAATGAAAAAATTTGAAAAACCTTAATTTGCGCGTGAAGTTAACGATTCTTAATATGGAATGATTGGAATTACGATTGTTGACCACTTTTCAGCTTCAAATATTAAAAATGTTTACTTTTCATTTTTCAGATAAATACATTTTTAATTATTGAGAAGTGTAAACAAATGTGGACGCTTATTCTCAGATGTTGCCAACCATTTAACACTTCGCTACCTTTTCTTCCACATGAAAAATAATGCATTCTAACTTCATGTAAATGCATAATTTTCATGAACGCCCTTGTAAAATGGCTTTGATTTCTCGCTAAAATCCGTTAGCTACTTGTTTCCTTTACAAAGTTTATAAAAAAACAGTACCGTGCGTGGACATCAAAGACATCATCATTTCTGTTAAATGAGCAGAAGTAACAGAAAAGACATAATACTTTCTTTTAAATGCGAAGAAGTGGTGGAAAAAAATCATAGCAACTGGATATGCTTTATATGATTCTGCTACAGCTGTTGTCTTAATTATTGCAAAATTGTTGTCTTAATTGGGCAAAAAAAACATAATTTGAAATGAAAGACTTCTGGACATAAAAACCACAAATCCATTGGCTTAGTCCAACTCCACACAACAACCCCCCCCAAAAAAAAAACAGAAATCAAAGGCTAAACAAATAATTTCAATAGGCGAAAGTCAATTATAACAAGTTTACTTAAAACTTAAGAAATTTCATTATTTCGATTTTATCGAATCAGTGTTGCTGGATGAACCATTGGTCACAGTTTTTTTACTAACGATAGGATTTTGTTTCGTATGCAACTCAAACATAGCACCTAAAATATTGAAATTAAAGAGAAATTCTTAGAGCGTACGCTCTTCGTTAAACTTACAGTTGTTTCGCATGACTTTTTGGCGGAAGTGTGAGAGAATATTAGGTCTTCACACGCAATAATGTGACACCGTAACCGTCATCAACTACGAATCCGCCCGAATTAATTAGTAAAAACATTGGAAGGTTTTACTCGCAAGTTGGTATTGAAAATGGGCCAAATTGGTCAGGCCAGACGTCGGCAGTGGAGCGTAAACTGAACGCAACTCCGGTTTTCTTAATAAAAATTTGTGGGTTTTTGCTTGTTACTTAGAAATTATAAAAGTTAGAAGGTTGAAATTCTCAATTTTCACTTCACGAAACACTCTATTCTTTACGTGCAAAAATGGAAAAAATCGGGCATGCCCACACAAAGTTATGAGTAATTAAATTTAATTTTTTTCACTTTTTTGTATAAACGTTTAGTTTCTTCTTCAGTTCTTCTAACGTAACTTTCTCCTTTTTTCTAGAGTCGACTTTAATGTCCCAATTAAAGATGGTAAAGTTGTGTGTAATCAACGTATTTTAGCCGCTTTAGACAGCGTGAAGTATACTTTTTCGGAAAACGCCAAATCTGTTGTTTTAATGTCTCACTTTAGCCGCCCTGACGGTAATAAAAATCCTAAATATACATTATCACCTGTGGCTGAAGAACTGAAAACTTTACTGGGTAAAGAAGTGGTTTTCTTGAATGACTGTGTTGGCTCAGAGGTAGAGGAGAAGTGTAAGGATCCAGTAGAAGGCAGTCTTATACTATTAGAAAATCTTTGCTTCCATGTGGAAGAAGAGGGCAAGGGTGTCGATAATAGTGGAGCTAAGGTTAAGGCTGATGCTGAGAAGGTGAAGGCTTTCCGTGAAAGCTTGTCCAAGTTAGGCGATGTTTACATAAACGACGCCTTGGGCACAGTCCATCGCCCTCATAGTTCCTTGTTGGGCGAGGGTTTCGAAAAGCGTGCCGCAGGACTTTTATTTTTTTTTTTTGAAAATAGGATAAAATCGAATGCCACGCCTATAAAA